TGACTGAGGCTATCCTTGCTTTAGATTTAGACTTAAGCAAAGCTAAACATTGTTTCATGACTTATTTAAACTATGTCTCATCTTCACTTTTTTTTTTCCTAGGATGTTTCCAGTGCAACTTTGAAATACAAAGGTATACATTTTGGCAACTCTTCAGGAAGAAGAGAGTTACCTAAACAGTCAGGTCCTGGTCCTGGACAGTATGATATCGTCCAGTAAGTAAAAAAAAAAAAAAAGTATACCTTCAATGTAGTTCTTGACTATAAAATATTCCAGTAATTCAGACTAGGCTATGCTGTTAAAAAGGAAAAATTAGTATGAAAAATTCCAAGAAGTTTATATTATGTTTAGGAGTAACCTATATGAGAGTTATTGCTTTTTATATGAGGCAGATCCTGTTCCACCTACTATTTGCATTCATTACCTCATTTAATATTCACAAGTGTCTGAGTAGTTACTGTTGTTATACCTGTTTTATCAGTGAAAAATCCAAGGGCCAGAGATGGTAAACAACACGTTCAAAATCATGTGGCTACTAAGTGGCAGAGCTAGACTTTAACTGAGACCTGTCTGATCACACAGCCCATGTATTTATGTATTAAAATATACAGACCTTAATTATAAAGTAAACAAAAGATCATATAAACTATAAAAGAAGGTGACCCAGAATTCTCCATTTTATCCCTGGCTGTCATCTCCATTCTTCTGACTACATGATGGATCTAGAAGGCATTCTCAGTCAGTGTGAATCAGAGCTACAATATTAGGTTGGAGGTAATAATGAAGTTTAACTGGTAAATACACTTCTAGTAAAATAACTCCTTCTGTCTTTATTTTCTCCTACTCCTACATTAAGAGCTTAGATATGAATCCATGGAAGGCAAAATTGAGTAACAAATACCATGTTGTCCTCAGATTCTACTACCTCTGCTCATACTTAATTTTTTTGAAGAGTCCAGCTTATTTGGCTGATTCTTTCTCTCTTAAGGCATAGGTTTTCTCCCAACAAGTCTCAAGGTGATTACATACTCGATTAGTTTGCTAGACAGATTCAGATGTATCTGTATACTAGCATTGGGCATAGCTTCGGCTCTTACTTGGACTCCCATGCTACTGTTCATTCATGGAATAGACATTGAATTCTTGGTGTGTGCCAGTGTGGAACTTAATAACTGAGAATAAAAAGAATAAAACATTGTCCTTGTTTTTTTGGAATTTATATTCTAGTCCATTGCCCTTTTTATTTTTTCACTCTGCTAATATGGAAGATACATCTTTCTATTTTTATTCTTTTAATAGTTACACTAGAACCTTAACATGCATATTTAGCTTAATGAAGTCTATACGTAATACTATTATCATTCTTCCAGACAAAATAAGGTCTATAGAATGCTCTAACTCTGATCATTCCCTCTTGACATATGCTTTTGTTGTTCAGTATGGTAGTTGTATCCTTTCCTTCTCCCAGTTTGACTGGTTTGGACTTTCTCTCACATCAGTTTTATCGAAATTTAAATAACATAAAACAAAATTCATCTTTTTAAAGGTATATTGTTCTGTGATGATTGTTTTCCACCCATTCTACTAGACTTTTGACTGAGTGCCCCATGCATAACCAGGACTCTCTAATTAGTGCTGGTCTGATTTTGCATGGTAGTGTTTCCTATCAGTCCTTTTATATTCCCAAACTTTGTCCCACTCCCATTCTCCCCCTATTTTTTATGCTGTTTCTTTGATCTTTGTTATTTCTCCTGTTTTCCCTCTTTTTCTATTTGTATTTTAACTTTGCTTGCAGGAATGGATTAATACTGATTGCATTCCTGATTACTTCAGTTGTTTCACCATTTTCATAATTTGTTTGCTCTTTGGTTTGCCTATGTTCACTGTATCTTTTCTTTGGAGTTGTCTGGGTTCCTTCTGGCAGTTGATATTTTCTGCTATTTTCTTTTTTTTTTTCCTTGATTTTTTGTTTGTTTATTAAGTCACAATTATTCTGGGAGACTTGATTCAGTATAAAAGTTGAGATACTTGGCCACCCTAAAAAGAAAGATAAGCTCATCGGTCTCTTTTTGGGAAAGATATAGACCTAAATGATACTTGATACTTTGGATATCTCAGATATAAATTTGTTGTCTGTAAATGTCTTTGAGGTTTGGAAAACAAGTTCATTTGTTGAATTTTGTACAAATAAAAATCAGTGAAGAAGTGAGCATTTCATAGTGAACTGGAATGGTAAAACGGTAAATGCATATTTGAATCATAGCAATGCTGAACAAAGACAATAATGGCAATTACGTAACAAAGTTTTTAAAAATGTTTTTCTGTTGTCTATTTTTTAATCTGCGTATGTTCAGTATCGTTTGTTGAAAATGTTTGGTATCAGATTTCTTTGGAATTCTGTTTGAGAAATAGAAAAAATGGTAGTGTAGTTCGTATAGGCTGTTTAAATGTAATTCTTACAGCAGTAATAGCTAATAGTTATTGTGTACTTATTATGAGCCATGTGTGTCACTATGTACTTCACATATATATTTTAACTGTTGCAACCTTGTAGTTAGTTATTACCACTTTCAATTACAGGTGACAAATCTGAAGAGAAGTTAGGTGGTTTGTATCAGGTCACACAACTAGTGGGTAGCAATGCTGGGATTCCATCAGGCTTTCTGATTCCAAAGCTTGGGCTCTTAATGACTACTTATTTAGTTTTT